CAGTGGTTATTGTAGGTTCGAATTAGATTATTTGGATTATTTGGATTAATATCAGCCTGGAGGGAGGCCTCAGGGCTCTTATTTATTGTCATCAGTGTCTTGAACAAAGACATGGAAGACTAGTATATTAGTCAATCAGGGTTGTTATAACAAAATACCATGGACTGGGGGGCTTAAACAACAGAAATTTATTTTTTCACAGTTCTGGAGGCTTGAAGTCCAAGGTCAAGACGCCAGCAGGGTTGCTTTCTCCTGAAGGCTACCTATCCTTGGGTTGCAGATGGCCACCTATTCACTGGGAACTCACATGGGCTTTTCTCTGTGAGCGTGTACACTCCTGGTGCCTCTTCCTCTTCTTATAAGGACACAAATCCTATTGGATTAGGACCTCACCTTTATGGCCTCATTTAACCTTAATTACCTCTTTAAAATTCAGCATGAATTTTGGGAGGATGCAATTCAGTCCATAATAACTAGCCAATCATATTTAGGATCCATTCTGAGCCAAGAGGCACATATATTAGTTGAGAACGGGGATAGTGTTTATTTAAGTAGATAAAATTCAACAGAGATAAAAGCAAGTCCCCGTTATTATCATGTCCACCTGACAATTGCCGTGGACCACAAGGCAGGCTCAGGTTGACATTAGCAGCACTGACAGCTACAACATGGCTGAAAATGCTGGTGTCAGCGTAGGCTGTATGAACAGAAGTAGGGTTTCCTAAACAAGGGAGATAACAGTCAACCCCATGCTCTCCTGGAGGATGGAATTTTATGCTGGATGCTGACAAGTAGAGGGTGTCAAGTTAGAAAGTACGTAAGAGTTAGAGATGCTATTGAGCAGCAACGTTGGTACCAGACAGACATAGGTGTCAACCAGGTATGGTTTTGAACAGCTAAATCAAGTGACTTTTCAAAGACTTGCAGTTTGGGAATGGAAGCACTTTTAGTCCTGGCCAAAAACCATGGACCTGACACCTCATAGGTATGCCATCAATATTTGTGGGACTAATAAAAAAAATTGCTGAATGAATCTAATTAAAGGTGAGAGGCTTAGAAGGCACTTAAGTCTGACTTAGTGATCAAGAGCTTGGGTCTTTGAGCAGGGCGCTGGATTTGAATCTTGTCTGTACCCTCCTTTTTACCCTCCCTATGCCTCAGTTTTCTTGTCCTGTAAAATGGGATTATATCCTCCTCCTGTGGGTGTTGTGAGAAATGAGATGACACACAAGGGACATGCTGAGTCCTGGACCTACACATGAAAAGCCCTGAGTAAATATGCAAAAATTTTAAAAGCTGCTCTGGTGATGAGGCCAGATCACAGAAGTTCAAACTGAGAACCCTCTACATGCCAGGTGTTGGGCTGTGCAATTTCAAATATAGTTGGAAGGGCCACATGACTGCAGAGGGTTCGGCTGACGAGGCCACTACAAAAAGGGAAAAGTGGTGGGTTAAGAGAAAGAGTGAAGGCTATAAAGACTAAGGTTATGTTAATCAGGACTCTTGGTTGCAAGTGACAGAAGACTTACCCAAACTGGCTTCAGCAGAAAAAGGGCATTTGGGGCTTATATAACAGGGGCTCAAAACGTTCTTGGGATTTTGTCTCTGTTTTAGTGCAGCTTTCCCCTACACATCCCAGGTGGGATGGCCACCGGCCGTTTAGCCCTTATATCCTGCCAGTTCTTCAGGGCTAGGTGGAAGAAAAACATTTCTCTCCTAGTAGTTTCTGCAAAGGTCCTAAGGTAGACCCTTATTGTGCAGAATGGGTCATGTGGTTATTCCTGAGCCAATCAGTGTGGTCAGGAGGATGGGATATGCAAACTGGCCTGGCCTGGGACACATGCCAGGGAGTAGGGGTGGGGTGGGGCAGGATGCAGGGGGAAGGGGAAAAATAGCAGAGATAGGGGTAGTGGTACATGAGGGCTGTGGCCTCACTGCGGGTGCCAGGCTGGGAGACAGGGACTTCTGGGACCTATAGGCAGCCCTCTGCTGCTGCAGCTGCCTGGCAGGGGGTGGGGGTGGGGGTGGGCAAGGTTTTTAGGGTTTATTTCCCCAGCTCACTGTTTCTCTTCCCTTGCCAGACTGATTGGCCACACTCCTTCTTACTGCGATGAGTCACTCTTTGGCTCCCGACCTGAGGGCGCCGGCTGGGAGGCCTCGTGGATGGCGAAGGGGGATGCTGCAAAGCTCCATGCCCTCTTCTGGACACCCCCAGCAACCCCTAGGGGCAGCCACTCACCCCGCCCCAGGGAGACTCCAGTGCGAGCCATTCACCCAGCTAGTCCCTCAAAGACAGAGCGCAGTGTGGTGGCAGATTCCCGGAGGTTGTCCGTGGATGGGTTAGACTTTCCACGCCCTCCGAGGCGGGAGCGTTCTTATTCCCTCACCCACCTTAATGTCCCCAGCACAAGTCACCCACCCACCCATACCCCCTGCACAAATGGGCCTCGAGATCCCAGACCTTCCCCGTCAGGAGTGACCTTCCGGAGCCCCCTCCTGACTCCCAGGGCTCATTCAGTCAGTGTTTCAGCACCAGTTACCCCCCGACGAGGCGGAGCCATCCAGAAACCAAAGCCACCTTGGAAATGAATTTCTTGGTCCTTTCTGCAGGTTTGCCCATGGGGTCACAGCAAAGGGCAGAGTTTCAGAGGATGGCACTGGTGGGCGGGCCTTTGGGGAGACCACCAGGCATTGGCAAAGCACTCCTGGGGGCAGACAGAGCGAGGGTGGGCAGTGCCGCCCTTTCTTCTGACAACCGCTGGTTGCTCCCTGCTTTTGCCGCTGATGTGGATATGAGGGCCGCCTCTGGAGATCCCTGTTTCAAGTTCTGTCATAGCCACACAGCATATCAGTGCCAACCCAGGGGTGTCCCCCGGGAGGGTCCCCCCACCCTCTCTATCACACCCACAACATTGTCTCGCCACCAAGTGTGAATAAATGGTATGATTGCCAACCCAGAGGGTTCCTTCTCCCTCCCTTCAAGCCAAGCTTCTGCTCAGGATGAGTTTCCAGTTGAGTCTGGACGCCTCAGGAATTTTCCCAGGCACAGTATGTGGACCAGCAGGGAACACAAGGTGATATGTGGGTGGACATTTAAAATTTTAAGTCATGTATTTATTTTCATGTATTAAATATATCAGCTCATCGAAGCCGTGAGTTTTGCTAATTTTTTCCTTAGGATAAAGGCCAGTGTTAGGCCTAGTTGATTTAAATAACAAAATTAAATAACATAGCAATCATGACAGTGGCAGGTGGGCAGCTAATCTTCCTGCGTTGGTTTCTAGCTAATACCACTAATTGGGGGGTTAGCTGATTCTTTCTGAGCTCAGAATATGGGCTATAGTTGACTTGTTTTGAAATCATATGTGTATATATGATATACGTTTCCTACCGTAAAAAAAAATAAAAAACCACAGTGACTAGGACTTTGCCTGGACTTTGAGGGGTCCAAGAAGACCAGAAAGTTCCACATGGCACCTGGAGAGCACTCGGGAAGGAAGTCTAAGTGGTCAGGGCCCGCCTGCCTCCTGCCCCGCACCATCGTGGGTCAGGCCCCTCAGGAAGAACAGCCAAGCCTTTGCTCTGATGGAGCTGCACCCAGAATCCCAGCATCCTGGTGGATTGCACCTCCAGGAAGCACCGGGATTCCAGAGAGGCCAGCTGGAAGCCGTATCTTTGGTTCTGTGCCTCCACCTGTGGGGAAGGGAAGAGCAGACACTCCCGGGGAACAGTCTGGGAGGGACCAACAGTGCCTAGGACCAGGGGCGCACATTCAGACGCCTACACGGCTCCGGTGGGCCGTGACGGACGCAAGCGAGCCATGCTCTTGGCACAGACAGCATTTTAAACATGTAGGGTTTAAATTTCCTAGAACTCTCGCAAAGAATTAGTTCCCTCCTTCCTTAGTTTTACTTGAAACATTCAGCTCTCATTTGCCTTTATCCCTTGCCCCTATGTTTTAGTAGACATTGGCCACAAATACCTCTTTCCTCCAAACTGTACTAAAAAAGGGAAGCAACCGCCCAAGCATGATGATAAGGGGCGACTGACGCTGAGGCCATGATGGCTGGAAGACAGTTGGGAGTGGTGGCGACTGGGACAACCTGTCTGCCACCCAAAGGGGGCGCTCCTCACCTTTAGAAGACACGGAGGCCCGGGCTATCTGGATGATGAGATTTTTCCAGAAAAGGCATTTTTAAGCAGTAGCCTCTGATTTTTTGAAATGCCAGCAGTGGGGATTTCCCTGGTGGTCCAGTGGTTAAGACTTTGCCTTCCAGTGCAGGGAGTGCGGGTTGGATCCCTGGTCAGGGAGCTAAGATCCCACATGCCTCATGGCCAAAGAACCAAAACATAAAACAGAAGTGATATTGTAACGAATTCAATAAAGACTTAAAAAAAGAAACTGCCAGTAGTGAATTTAAAAATATATTCTTCAACTACCTGGACACCGAATAAGGCTAATGTGAGCTTGCTGGTTTATGACCTCAGGACCCCTGAGCTTTCACGGTGCTAAACCAGGGAGAAGTTGTGGGCAAATTGATACCCAGAGCAGGGGCAGAGTGCAGCCTGAAGCCCTCCCTCTTCCTCCTGGAGTTCTCTGCCTGCCCCGCCCTCCCCTGTGGGCAGCTGTGACCCACACCCAGCTGTCCTGGTGGGTGATGTGTCCATCGCAGTCATGGCAGCTTCTGGGCTGGGACCGAGGGGGATGCAGCCCAAGGTCTGGCTTCCCACCGAGGCTAAAGGAAGGAATGGTTACGTGCTGACACCCAGCCTGTGTGTTCCCCTCGTGGAAACGGCACCTGCAGCATGGACACGCATCCAATGGCCCTCGGTAAAGTGAAGTTTATTTGTAGGCTGTGGTTTAAAAGGGTTTTTAATTTTGAAAAAGCGTTAAGGCCATGAATCGCAGGGCTCCACATCCCAGGGGCTTCCAGGCCGGCTCTCGAGTGAGAGGTAAGATCTTGGTGAGGGCAGGGGTCTGGGCAGGCTGGGGGAGGGACTCACTTCTTGCCCTTGCCCTTGCCCTTGCCCTTGCCCTTGCCCTTGCCCTTCTCCTTCACTTTGCTCTTACTCCGCTTCCTCTTCTTGGACCTGAGCATGGAGCGGACCAGGTAGCCCCTCCACAGGGCCTGGATGAGCATGGCAGCCCGCACCATGTGCACCATCTCCTGCTCGGCTTCCAGCCTCTTCTTGGCGTCGATCTCCTGCTCGGCCTGGATGTGGGAGAACTCTTCCACCAGCACGTCATGCCGTCTCTTCAGCTCCTCCAGCTGCAGCTTCTCCTCTTTGTGGATGACATCCAACTCCTCGTACTCATCCTGGGGTGACAGGCAGGGGGTAGGGGTCTCCAGGCACAGAGCACCGCCTGCCACCCTCTTCTGTTCCCACCCTTCCCGAAGCCGCTTCCACCCCCAGCAATGCCGCCTACGCTAAGCCTTTCTGCATCTGAGGCCCAGATGAGAATGGGAGAGCTGATGCGGTCCATCTGAGTTTGCGGTGGGACCCAGCTGAAATAGGTCAGGAAGGAGGAAAGAACACGGCTCATGGGCTGGGCAGGCTGGGCTTCCAATCCCAGCTCAGCCACATCTCGAGGGGCTTCACCTTTCAAGCCGTCATTTTTCCTCATCTGAAACACGGGGACAATTCCAAACCCAGGAGCAGGGGTGGGAGCTATTTCCAGGATTAAATGACGGGATGGATGCAACGTCCATCCCCCCGCCTCCCACCAGGCATCTACCGGAAGAGTACTTCCAGAGGACACAGAGCTAAGTGGACTCGGTCTCTGCCATCATTCACCCACCACCCTCATTGGGAACAGGGAAACAAGAGCACAGCCTCCCCCTTCATAGAGCACTCAGGATCAGACAGCACACCTGACGTTGACCACTCAGAGGCTTATGTCACTTCCAGTGCTCACCAGGCCTCCCTGCCCCAAAGTCGGGGCTGTGGGCCACCGATGTTATCACAGAGCTGGGTGGAGGCTTAAGGGCACCCCGTTTTTAGGCTACTATTCCCTGAGTACCTCCTCCAGGCCAGATCCTGTGCTGTACAAGCACCTGTGACAACAGTGACTTGTTAAATCCCCACCATGGTTCCAGTGTGGGTGTTACTGTGATCCCATGCAGAAATGGGCTCAGAAAGGTCAAGTCCCTTGCTTAGGGTCACACAGCGAGTAACTGCCACTAGAGTAGAACCTCCAGATGACAATGGGGACTTTCTTGACCGCTGGAGCCCAGCACCTGGCACATCTAAGCACTCGGTAGAAAGCTCCTGAGTGGCTGAGTGAAGTGGTGGAGGTGAATGCTTGAATCCCATGGGGATGAGTCCCGGCTTAGGGGGCTGCTAGCAGGAGCTGAGCAGGAGGGAACAGGGAGTTTGGGATACTGACAGTAGATGGAGCCAGGATCTTCGGGCCTGGTGTCAAGCACATCTTAGTGGCTCGCAGCTTCTGGCTCCTTCCTTTCCCACCGCTCCCCTCACTGCCCCAGGCTAAACAAACCCTTGAGCCTAAGGAAGGGGCAGGGAAGCCACTCTGGAGAGGCCCAGAACTTGGCATAGACCAGGGACCATACTAGGGCTTCTCTTCTCCACCCCTCACCCCCATTCCTAGAGGATCTTGGGAAACACACTTGAGAGAGACTTAGGCAGACAAATACCTGCTTTTCACTCATCTCCAAATCGTATTTCTGGATCCAGTTCTCAATTTCCGTTTCCACTTTATATTTTTTCTAAAAAAAATTCAATTAGTCATTGTGTGATGGACTAATATTAACAATAAAAAGCACTCAGCCCGCTCTGCATCAGCAGGCCCTGCATCACGCCTCGCCTCCTGAATCCACATCACAAGGTATGTTCTCCATTTCACAGGCAAGGACACGGAGAATCAGATGTGCTAACTCACTTGGCCCAAGATTACAGAGTTGATGGGTGGTGGAGCTTGGATTTGAAGCCAGCAGTCCAGCTCCAGAACATTGTAGGCAGAGGGAGCAGCAGGTGCAAAGGCCCTGTGGTGGGAACAAGCTGGTGATGTTTAAAGAGTAGGAACTGAGCCAGTGTGGCTGGAATGGTGTAGCCAGGGAGGAGAATGGTCCCATTGAGCTCAGAGTGAGAAGCTGTGTCACAGAGGGAGTGTCAGCAGTGGAAGGAGTTTGGTTTCTAACGTAAGGGAGAGTGGAGGCCGTTGGGTGGATTTAGATACAGTGAAGGAATGTGATCTAATTTTGTTTTTAAAAGATCAGCTCCTGTACGTACAGTGGAATGCTATTCTGCCATAAAAAGGAGTGAAGTGTTGGTGAATGCTACGTGGATGAGCCTTGAAAGTGCAATGCTAAGTGAAAGAAGCCAGACACGAAAGACCACATGTTGTATGATTCCATTTACATGAAGAGTCCAGAATAGGCAAATCCTTAGAGACAAAAAGTAGATTAGTGGTTGCCAGGGACTGGGGGGAGGGGGTGGAGAAGCTACTTAATGATTACAGGATTTTATCTGGAGGTGATGAAAATATCTTGGAACTAGATAAAGGTTGTGGTTGTCCGACATTGTGAATATACTAAGTGCCACTGAATAACTTTAAACGGTTATATTTTATGTTATGTGAATTTCACCTCAATTAAAAAAAAAAAATCAGCTCCTTAGTCCTACAGTGCGAGAGTTCGTAACTTGGGCACCACGGATGGGCTGGCTTCAGCGAGCCTGTAACCCAAGAATTGCCCCCCACCATGGGTATGTGCTTCTGTGCCTTTTCATGGGGGAGAGGCCCGGTGCTTCCATTAGATGCTCAAAAGTGTAGTGAAACAAAAACAAATCTGAGAACAAGTGTTAGAAAGGGTGTCCTTTGTGAGGAAAGGGATTCGGAAGCAAACTGGGTGCATGCTGGGCCTGGGTCCTGGCTGAGACGATGGAGAAGGCAGATGAAAAAAGGATATTTATTGAGCACTGACTAGGTGCTACCAGCTGCCTACCCATCATCCCATCTAATTCTCATAGCAACTCATTAAGGCCTATTCAATCACTTTCATTTTAAAAATGTGAAAACTAAGGCTCGGAGGGAGTTAAGAGATTTGCCAGAGGTTTCTGTGCGCCTTCATTTCCTTTGCAGGACAGGTGGGTATCATCCTCCTTGTGGGGCCCAGAGGAGTTCAGGAACTTGCCCAAGGTCACAGAGCTGGCCTGCAGCAGGACCTGATCTCTCTGCCCCCAGTCCCTGGCCTGTGTGCTGCTCCCTCCTGCCTCCCAAGGGATACTGCGTCCATCCTGGGCTTCCCTGCACCCTTCTCCCCAGGGAGCTGCTCCCCTGGCAGCTGGAGCAGCCCTGCCCCCCACCCCAAGCCCTGCGCCCGGCCCTCCCTTCGCCCGCTCCCCTGTCCCAGTGGCCCCACTGCCCCCACCGCCCCGCTTCCCCGGGGCACCTTCCTCAGCGCCTGCTCTGCCTCCCAGTTCTCCACGACCAGGCTGTTGAACTGTGCCTGCAGCAGCAGGATCTCCTGCTGGATCTTGGCCACCCGGGCCTGCGAGGCCCGCAAGTCCGCCTTCTGCTGCTTCTCGGCCTCGTGCTTGGTGCGAAGGAGGCTGTTCTCTGAGAGCTTGGGCAGCTGGTGCAGGTGATTTTTCAGTTCTTGGATCACGAAGTTCTCCTTCTCCACCTGGGCCAGGAAGAAGAGAGGCTCCAGGATACCTCCGCGATCATGAGCCATCGCAGGAGAGAGGCTGGCGTGCCTGCAGCCCCCTCAGGACGGGGCGCTGCTACCTCGCCAAATCCCAGCCCTGGCCCCGGAGGACGGGGACAGCCTGCCTAGAGACCGCGAAATTGAGGCTCAGGGGGATTGCGTCTGTCTGGGGTTGTGCAGCTGAGATGGAATTTGAAGCCGGGTCTGTCTGATCCGGAGCCCACGTTCGTGGCCACCGTCCTCTATTTCCCGGCGTGAGTGAAGTGCGCAGGCGCGCCTGAGCGGGGTCACAGGAGAGGTCTGCGACAGCGCGACTGTCCTGCCGGGGCACAGCAGGGGAGTGCCTAGCTGCCAGGGACACTGGGCGCGATGCATGAAAGTGTGAGATAAACACACGCCGCAGGGATTGCCCCGACCCCACTCTCCCCTTGAGGGCCTGGCTTGGCTCCTGCCCCTCAGTCCGTTCTAAAACAGGAATTGGTTGTAGTGAGGTGGATGGACCTAGAGTCCGTCATGCAGAGTGAAGTAAGTCAGAAAGAGAAAAACGATTACCGTATGCTAACACATATATATGGAATCTAAAAATAAAAAAACAAGGTTCTGAAGAACCTAGGAGTTAGATGGGAATAGACACAGACCTACTAGAGAATGGACTTGAGGACACGGGGAGGGGGAAGGGTAAGCTGTGACAAAGTGAGAGAGTGGCATGGACATATATACACCACCAAATGTAAAATAGATAGCTAGTGGGAAGCAGCCACATAGCACAGGGAGATCAGCTCGGTGCTTTGTGACCACCTAGAGGGGTGGGATAGGGAGGGTGGGAGGGAGACGCAAGCGGGAGGAGATATGGGGACATGTGTATATGTAAAGGTGATTCACTTTGTTATAAAGCAGAAACTAACACACCAGTGTAAAGCAGTTATACTCCAATAAAGATGTTAAAAATAAATAAATAAAAATAAAATAAAGTAAAATAAAACAGGAATTGGGGTTGGGGGGGCACCGCTGTTTTGTAAGTAAACTCCAAATAAACTCCAAAGGCTGATCACAAGCGCTAGGTGTCCCTCTGAACACACCGGTGCTGTGGCTGGCTCAGGCCAGCAGCCTCGGGCTGGGGGCAGCTGGCAGCAAGGCCGCAGCGGGTCTGAGCTCACTTCCTGTACTCAGGGAGTGAGAGGTGGGGTGGGGAGGGGTTTGAGGCAAGCCTGTCCTGTGGGCAAGTCTTCAGCCTTCAGGGGTTGGGTTTGAAGCAGACAGTACTATTCGCGGTCAGAGCTTTTCTTGTGGACCCCTCAACATGCCTTATTGGTGTCATCCTCTCATTTTACACTGAGATCCAGTGACCTGATGAAATCTGCCCACCTGGCAGAAATGGAATTTGACCCCAGATCTGTCCAACTTGGCAGCCCCAAGCTGTTTCCACTACCCGAATGAGACCAGCAAAGCCACTTGGAAGTCCTCTTCCTTTCCCTCAGTGACAGCCCTCCAACCTATGAGTGGTCTCCCCTGAGCACCCAGGAGCCTGTCATCTCTCTACTCAGCAGATAATTACCTTGTCCCCCTTTTTGTGCCAGGCCCACTAGGGACCCAGTGGAGGGCCAAGAAAGACAAGGTCCCTGTTCTCTTGTGGGGGAGCCAGACCCCAATCGTATCATCAAATCATCACACAGTCATCAACAAACCCTGATGAATGCTGTACAGGACAAAGTCGGAGAGAACATAAGGAAGGGGGGACCCCCCTGAGCTAGTACATCGGGGAGGGAGGGTGGCCTTGATCTCTCATCTATCACAGGGCGATGAAAATGTGACAGTGCTGGCTGGCTGTCCCCAGGACCTGTTCTCCCCAGAAAGGCTGTAGAGCAGGATGTTTCACTGGGAAGGTGGCCCCAGCTACAGACCACTTTCCCAGCATCTCTAGCACTGGGTGTAGCTAAGAACTATATGAATGCTGCTTCTAGGTGATGTCCCAAAAGGGTAGGACAAAATCCCCTCCTCCCCTTTCCTCCTTCCTGCTGGCTGGACCAGTGGTGACATGACGGTGGAAAGCTGGAGCAGCCTTCTGGGTCCACAGTTAGAAGTCCCATGTGGGGGGACAGCAGAGAAGCCAGCAGCAAGGAACCTGGGCCCCTGACGAGTTTACAAAGCAGAGCTTCCATGCCAGATCTCTGTTAAACAGAAATATATCACCAGCTTGACTAAGACAAGCTTGACTATTATTTGGGGTCTCTGATTTAGCAGCCAAACCTATACTTATACGCCACTTCCCAGGGACTTTGCTAGTTGTTAGTGCGAAAATGTGTGTAAAGAATGACGCATAGGGGCTTCCCTGGTGGCGCAGTGGTTGAGAGTCCGCCTGCCGATGCAGGGGATGTGGGTTCGTGCCCCGGTCCGGGAAGATCCCACATGCCGCGGAGCGGCTGGGCCCGTGAGCCATGGCCGCTGAGCCTGCGTGTCCGGAGCCTGTGCTCCGCAAAAAAAGAATAACACACAGTATATGTCCCCAAATGGTTATTGTTAGGTTGGGATCATGTTATCCTTTCACCTCTTAAAAGTTCTTCTAGAGCTTCCACCCCTCCTACCTGCCCCTTACCCTCAGGACAAAGACCACATTCCTCGATTAGGCCTCAAAGGCCCTGTGTAATCTGCCAGCAAAGCCTTAAATTAAGTATTTACTATCCAGCCTTGGCCTGGAAGGTCTCTCTCTACCTCACTTGTCTGGTTCACTCCCTCTCATTCTCCATGTCTTGGCTTCAACGTCCCTGAGTTCCAAGTTCAGGTCTCCTATAACACTCTCTTATAGCACCCTATACTTACCCTTCTGTGTACTTCTCAAAACTGTAATTAAATCAGCTCTTTAAGACCTACCTTCCCTATCATGAACTCCATGAGGCTGGGACCATGTGGACTCATCATTTATAAGACCTGGCACCTGGTAAGTGCTCAAAACAAAATTTATGGAGTAAATGAATGAAAACAGCTATTTAGATCACTGAGGAAAAAACCCAACCGCCAAAAGATTTGGGCTCCTCCCTGGGGCTCCTTCTATAACCTGACCAATACTGTGCAGTGATACCTCTGCATCCCTGTTCCTCACACAGGCTGCCAATTCATTTTCCAGAGTATCAATGATTGCTTGGTTCCTCTGATTCCGTTTGGTGATGTCCTGGATGAACTGAGTCTTGTGTCTGGCTTCCATGGGACTAGTGAGTAGCTTCTCAAACAGGAAACCTCGGAGTTCTACCAGGCTATCAATAAAACTCTGGGCTTCCGCACTTCTGCCCAGGGTCTGCACCTGCAACAGACTGGCAGCCTGGGGGTTAGTGAGCAGGAGTCTCACGATGTTCTTGGTGGATCCTTTGATCTGCTGCATAAGGGGTGGGAGGTGGGATTTCTGCACCTCTGTGGAGAGGACACGGTCTCGGAACCACGGTTCATCCTTGAACTCTTCTTCCCCCTGCAACTGCCTTTCTTCCTCCTGCAGGTAATTGACGCGATCCAGGAGGATCTGGCAAAGGTCCTGGTGCTCTCTCACTGCTTTCATGATGCCCTCCCCCAGCATCCCCTCCGAATTCTTGGAACTGGATGCCACATATGACAGCAGGGTCACCAACTCCACCTTGTGAATGGTCTCGTCCAGGACGGACATGATCCTCTTGGTCTCGATGGTGGTGAGTCTGGTCTTGGGAGGAGGCAAGGGTTTTGGCGGGGTGGTGGACCTTTTGGTTGTCTGTGCTATCAGCCTTACTCTGTTGACATCAGGGTCTTGGTAGAGAGGGGCCACAGCAAGGATGTCCAAAGCCATTTTATGAGCAGTCTTCTTCGCTTTTGTACGCCCTGAGAGATTGAGACTTTGGTAGACTATCTGGGCTTCCTGCTTTTATTGTCTCTGGCAACCCTGAAAAAGGAAGGAGTAGGTAGTCAGCAGAGTCAGGGTGACTTCGGGATGGCTGGTGTGGCCACAGCAGCCGTAAACTGTTGACGTGGAGAGTTTGTCTTAGGTGCTCTGCAGCTTTTACACAGAACCTCTCAAGGAAAGCCGTTTTGAGCTTTGTAACAGTGCTCAGGGCCCCAAAGGTAAGGGGACCATGTGTGGAGCTGGGTCTCAGGCACATGTGTCAGGCAGGGACCAACCAGGAATACAGACATCATTCTAGGTATTCAAACACAGCAACCAGTTACGTGGGTGATGGAAGAACTGAGAGGCCAACCAGGGGAAGGGAAAGCCACCCAGCGATTGTCAATGGCAGGAAACCATGAAGGAGGAGGAAGCGGTGGGTTTGGGGATCAGGGCCACCCAGGGGAAGCTGGAGCCACAGCCATTTCCTGTCCAGGAGTCACTGTAGCCCCAGTGGAGCTGTGGCCACTGCTGGAAATGCAGCCCAAAGCAGAGAGAAGAGGAGAAATCTGGTTTCTCCCTTTGTCCAGCCTTCCAATCTAACACCAGTGCCTCCCACTGACCAAATCCAGTGGGAAACCAGCGACAAGGGAGCCTGGGCAATGTAGCCTGCAGGGGCCAGCAGCTGGAGACAGAGCAGAAGAGGGGCAAGCAAATAGTGGTGCCAAGAGCGAACAGCATGAGGACCAGCGCAGCGCATTTGCATTGGCTTTTAAGAATGAATTTAAAAAATCGGGGTGGGGGCTTCCCTGGTGGCGCAGTGGTTGAGAGTCCGCCTGCTGAAGCAGGGGACGCGGGTTCGTGCCCCGGTCCGGGAGGATCCCACATGCCGCGGAGCGGCTGGGCCCGTGAGCCGTGGCCGCCGAGCCTGCGTGTCCGGAGCCTGTGCTCCGCGACGGGAGAGGCCGCA